TCGGGTAAATCGAAAACCGGTTATTAACCGGTTTTACAAAATCGGAAAAACCGATTTTGGATGCCCTAGCAGCAACTATCTTGTAAGAATAGTATGTAAAACTTATCAAGATATGAACAAAATTGGATTTTTGTCGGGGGTTTAAGCACAGGGGAATCGTTTTTTTGTATTTATCACACACTTGAGGTTTGCCGGGCGCAAATTCGGCCATGGCATCAAGTCACATCAGGGTTGCAAAAGATGTAAAGGGCACTACGAACTGGGAAACGCATGCATAGGGCTTCTCCACTTGTGAAGTTAGGTACACTAAAGTTTAACGTCACCTTTCTGCGGAGTGGTTCCATGAAGAGTTATAATTTATAATAAGTCGGGGACATATTTCAAATTACAACTAATTTTTTGTATACTAGGTGGTGTTGCTGAGCGAAATTCTCAATTTGATGGAAAGAGTTCACGCTGCAGGTTGGGCGTTGGTGCCCGCATTGGGCTTGATGGAGGGGCCGATTTGGATGGGGCTGGCGGCAATCTTGGTGTTGGTAGCGACTGTATTGGTGATCGCATCGGCAGTCGGGATGATGGAAGCGGCGATCAGGATGGTTACAGCGGTGTTCCTATTAATGTTAAATACAATCGGGGTGGTAGCGGCGGCAGTCTGGATGGCGGTGGCGCCAGGCTTACTGATGGCAGCGGCGGTCCTGTGGGTGGTAGCGGCGGTATGCAGGAACCAGTCGGGGTTCCTGTTGGTGGAGAAAGCAAGAGAGGTGGTAGTGGCGGCAGTATTACTGATTGCAGCGGCGGTAAGTATGGCGCTGTTCATGTTGATTGTAGCGGAGGTATGCAGGGTGGAGCCGGGGTTGCTGTTGGTGGTAAAAGCAATGAGGACGTCAGTCTGGATGTCGGTGCCGTCAGTCTTACTGGTGGTAACGTCAGTGTTGGTGGTAGTAGTAACGACAGCTTTGGCGATGAAGGGAACGGCAGTCAGGCTCCGAGTGAATGGTGGGCAGCCCGGGGCGCGAAACCCTAGATTGCCGATAGGCGCCCGGGTTTACACTAGATATAATTTTCCATTAGTAAGATTAGAAAATCTTTTCCTTGGTATTTTTCCTTTAATGCAGTAGGTGTGACGCGAGTATTCTGATATGTGGACACCACTATTTTTTTATAGTGCAGTTTTTAAATTTTTGTCCTCCACTGTAAAGAAAAATTAGTAAATTTACTACGGATTCCTTTGGTTGAAACAGAGGACGAGAGAACAGTTGTACAAATACCGATTTTTTAAATCAAGCATTAAGTACAAATTTCACAAGGGGGGAAATACTTTACACAAAAATTGAATGCATTTTACCCAACTGTTATGTCATCCTCTTTTTTTATATCGTGGATGCATTTTTATTAAGTGCTTAATCAGGGTAAGGAAAACCCCTGGGTTTTTCTATTGAAAACCTCTACGCAGGGGGTTTGGGGGTAGTCGGGTTGTTAGGGGTAAACTGAGTCAGTATCTCATGTCTAAAGTTACAAAAATAATGTTTTTTTTTCAATATGTAATTTCGTAACAAAACTGCTCATTGATTATGTTCTAATAATTAATTCGTGGAATTGCTAGCAATGTTCTCTTATCATATTTTGTTAAATTTGAAAACCTGACTACCTCGACTACCCGTGGGTATTGCTCAAATTTGCTACCCAATACCCCAAAAACCCTGGGTAGCATACCCTGTGCATAATAGTGAATAATAGCGCCTTTTTAAATTTGTATTGCTTCGCCTAATTATTAATAGAAGGTACATAAATCTTGTAAAACAAAAATTAAAAATATGCCGGTTAATACACTTCTTATAGAATTTACTGTGAGGAGAAAAATAAATTAAAATTTATAAAAAACAGTTCTGTCTCATACGCTACATTAGGTTCGCTAGCAGCATGAAAATTTGGTTGTACTTGTGATTACATATCAATCCTTTTTTGGAAAAAAATATCAAAACGGTCCAATATTTTAATTTCTAACATAAAAGCCCATTTTTCAGCTGGTATATTTTTTTCTTTGAGTTTTTATTTTCGTGCTGTTCGCTAATATACTCTTCCTACATTTCTGGATAAAGCGAATATTAGTGTTTTTAAAAACGTATTCCATAACTATAATAAAAGTTTCAAAAGTTAAAAGTTTCAAAATTCAATTCATTCAAAAATTCAAAACTGGGGCTAAGATACCGTAGCGATCTTGCCACTAATATGCACAGACAAAAATACAATAATGAAATTATACATCTAACAATAAGTACGATAATACTCGAAGCAAGGTTCATATACTTAAGTGTTACGTACACCTCGACAGGCTGCCTTTTAACTTGATTTTAACAGTAAAAAAGTACTGTTCTTCCAATACAATTTCAATTCAAAGTACCAAATAGTATAATATGAGTAAATTCAAAACGCTAAGCCCGTATATTTAGTTCTGACAAGAAGTCGCTTTCTGAAAAAGTTCTAAATACATTTGTTCCCAATGCAAGGAAAAGCTTTGGATTCTACGATGTGATACCACAAGCAGTTAAGTCAACGAGCGCACATTCGCAGAGATTTTAATATCTCATAACTTTCAAAAATTTACCCCTTGGGCCAAAACACGGATCAGACCGGCAAAAACAATGCAAGCGAAATTTTGTTGCTGGCTATTTTTTTTTACTAATTTAAGAGCTAACTCTACCAAGGGAAATTTTTATAGTGCCCGGTGCTCCCGGCATAACCATTATATACACGCGACGTCTTTTTTAAAACTTGTCTTCTGATGTGGCAAAATCTCGGTGTTAAAATATTCATATTATGTACATTACCCAACCTTAAGCACAATAGTTGAAAGCGCAAGAATATTTCCATGCATCCTGCAAGACTTGAATCACTTAACTTTATTGATTGATTGATTGACAGATTGATTGATTTATTCAGCATAAAACCCTTTCAGGCATAATTGCCCATAGAGTTACAGTTATACACATTATCATCATACATGAGTCCTTAAGAATTATTGATTAATTGGTTAGTGCATTGGTTAAGTAGGCTTAATTGTAATGTGTACATACATTTGATTTTGTTGACTATTCTTCCAAAATTAATTTTCTATGTCTAAGTTTGACTTGAAGGTAGTTGGAAACATTTATGCATTGTTCTCTGTTATCTAGATTTAAACATTTTGGCCAACGCATTTCCTCCCCCTCTTTACGGTAGATCTTACATTTACAAATAAATTGCTGAAACGTATTTTCTTCCCTTATATTACATAAAGAGCAGCATTCCTCTGCATCAAATGTATGCCTGAAATTCTCGTGTGTAATACGTCCATCGTTCAACCAAACGAAGATATTACATTTCACTCGCACTTGAAATGTTTTAATGAAATTGAATTATTTTAACACATTTCTTGTAACAAATCTCAATCCGCATCCAACTATGTTGGCCGATTCCGAGTTTTGTTCAATGCTCCTAATACAAACTACCAGCACTTAACCAAGCACAACCTCTCTCAATCGCGTCTCGACTCGGACTTACTTAACTTTATTTAGACATGAATCACCCAACTTTAGAGAACTCATCGACCGAATCAATTTAAAATATGGGAATTGTCACCCATCAGTTGGTCGTGGCCCGAGCAACATTTCGAAGGAGGTGGAGTCCAGCTATACTGCGAAGTGAGTTTGCGGGGGTGATTTCCACAAGTGTTTCCGATATCTTGACGAAAAAAAGGGTAAGGTAATGCAAAAATTAGTTATATGCAGTGGCCACACTGATGGATATGTATTGGCTTGGTATTAAATTGTCACCAGAGGTAATAAATTTATAACCCATTGGTGACGAACTCATAACCACGGCGGTTTTGTTGGGCTAATGTAAATATCCCGCACAAAGACAAGGGCCACCTCCCTCTCGGCGAAAAAAGTCGAAAAGTAAATGAATTCTTCACCTTGCACCCAAAATAATGCGAATCATTCATCTTTAACTTTTCTTATTTACATCTGTAAATAATCGGCGTTGTCCTAATCTGAGCTGATTTGTGAACTAGAACTCAAAACCGATGAAAAATTGGATTCTGTTGGTAAGTTTACTGATGATCATGATTTTTACTTCTTCATTCTACGCATGTGTAAAGTTTCAAATAAAAATATCAATTTGTCTGAAAGTTATGCTGAAAGAAGGTTTGAGCCCAAAAAACATCATAGAGACAAAGTATATCAACACCCTTTAGTAAGTACCCAGATTCCACTCAAGTTCGGTTCCCTGCTGAGAACCTTTTCTTGGGAGTAGCTGAATTTATTATGGGGCCATCCATATATTACGTCTTCAAAAATTTTCGATTTTAGCACCCACCCACCCAACGTAAACATTATGGGATAGGGAATTTTAGCATGGGAAAAATAGGAAGACCTAAACCACCCACCCAATAAAATAATGACGAAATTTGTGGACGTTCCTTATACGTACATATGTAACTATATCTATGACATTAACGTAGGAACCTTGCAATTGCATCCCTACATTCATATTTATTTCGGCTGCATGGAAAGGCCCTTTGGGGCCATACATAAAGCATGTGATCGGCCCTCGGAGAATGTTGACCCCCTCATGTGATTTTACGTGTGCCCCATATTATTATTAACTTGGGAAAGATAGGAAGTCTTGACCCCGCCACCCCGCAAATTGATCACTTGCTTTCAGCACGGTACCCTTGCCCTATTTAAATATGTACCTATCGCATGCTTCTTAAATATTTGTGTCACCGATCTCCAGCCAGGTTTGTAAATAAACTGCCATTCTGCAACACTCGAACAAGAATTATTCAACCAAACTCTTAAACCAAATATGGGGCCGCCCATAAATTGCGGAACGCAAAAATCGCGATTTTCTAGACATGTCCCCCTTCCCCCCTTTGAACATAGGCACGACATCATTGGAACCTTAGACCCCCTCTTGCGTTCCGTAATTTATGGCCGCCCCTACAAACCAGACTCGTTAGCTCACTTGTAAAGTGAGTTGTTTCCAAGGTTTAGTGAAATCTGTATGCACATCCATACGTAAAATCGGCTCGTATTTAAACACAAGTCTCTTCAAAATCCTAAAACTTATTTATCGTTAGCCTCGAAAATCACTTATTCATGTACATAAATAAATGAATACTTTGTAAATAAAACAGTGTTCTGAAAAGTTACTTATTACAAAATGTGTACAAAAATGGTCAAAACTGAACAAAACTTTCTCCTCTTTAGAGAACTCGTTGACCGAATTAATTTAAAATACAAAGATTGCAAAATGTTGGCTGGTCGTAATGTTTCCAACGACGTGGAGTCCAGCTTTATCGAGGAATTAGTCCGTTTGGCCCGCGGCGGAGGGGATGTCCATAAATTTCTAATATATCTCGAAGAAAAAGTGGTAAGCGGTAAAATTTATGACACTGAAAACTTTTAGGGCTGCACACTCTTAGAAATCCAGTGTTAAATTAATACCAGGCGGTATTCATGTATGACTTCATGTATGTAAGTGGTATTGATAAGTAATACTGTGTAGTCTAATGACTAATGACTGATCTAATGACTCGGTATTAAAGTTTTACAATATTGGTATCAAATTTTTACGGACCGGTATATTTTTAATATCAAGCTGTGCCAACTTTACATAAAGGGAAATCAATACATACATGACTAAATATACGGGATTTCTAACAGTGCACGTGACAAGGGAAGGGGGCTAACGGGCCCATCGTCGATATGACAAAAAATTTAATTAAAAATTTAATTAATTTAAAACTAGGTCATTTCGTTTGCCCTATTTTCAAATTTTAACTCAAAACTCGGAAGTTTTATTTTTGCGGTCACCTCGAAAATTTGTGAAAACTTTGGACTCAAATATTTCATAAGGGACGAAATGACCTGGTTATAAATTTGATTTTTGCCTCTCTAATTTGATATAATTATAAGCGATGGATACGTGAGGTTAACCCCCATTCCCCCTCCTTCATTTTTCGATTCTTTTCATAATGTTCAGATTACGACATGACGAGAAAGTTTTAAGTTGCTTAATTTCGTAAATTTATTTTCAGCCTGGAGTCGAGAGTAGAGCGTGGATGGTCTTTTGTTGGGCTTACGCTGATATCCTGCACAAAGAAAAGGATGAGCTCCCATCTCGCGAAAGATATGGAAAATTAAAGGAATTCTTCTCTTCTTGCATTCAACATCACGCCAAAGTTTGTTGAAATCTATTTTTATTTAAATCTAAATGTAATCTTTATGTATGTAAGTATAAATATGTATACAGGGTGGTTTAAATGTTACGCTAAAATGGCAAATTTCCATTAGTAAATAATAGAAATTTCATATCTGACATTCAATTTTGACTTTGGAATTTTGAGTTTTGATAATAATTAATAAAAACCTCAATCCCAAAGCTTGTAACTATTGAAGGTTTAAATTTACAATTTCAATATTATTTCGAACTTCTGGAAAAAATATAACATGAAAAATGTAAATTACGATTTTTTTTCTCAGCACGAAATGTCTGTCACTTTATAAAGCTTATTATCCGCTTAAATTCCAGGGTTTACACGACCTGCAGCAAATCATGGGGATGATCGAACACACCGGGAAAATGGGTCCCCTGGGGAAGGCAGTGGTTAGAAAAGGTTCGGAAACCTCCACCCTGGAGGAAATCATCCATGCCAAGACGAAGACTTTTTCCCGTAGCGGGAAAGTGCTCCCAATCAGTCAGATCGGTCACGGATACAACCGAGTAAAATGGTCAATTTCCGACTTTTACCCCAAACTAGGGGGTGTACTTGACCATGTGAAACAACCAATTTCCGACTTTTACCCCAAACTAGGGGGTGTACCTGACCATGTGAAACAACCAATTTCCGACTTTTACCCCAAACTAGGGGGTGTACCTGACCATGTGAAACAACCAATTTCCGACTTTTACCCCAAACTAGGGGGTGCACCTGACCATGTGAAACAATCAATTTCCCACGTACCTTTAGACGACGGGCCCCTCGTGGTATTGGAGATTTCCATGTGCGATAGCATCCGTGACTCCTCAAGCCTGATCAAGATACCTGCTTATATAGAGGAAATGGTGGGAATGCCCAGATTTGCCGACGCTAAAGATCCGTCCTTCCCAATTTGCAAAAGGTTGACCCAAATGTGCGAAAAGGTCGGACCTTTACGCGAGCCCGTCTTGGCGATCGCGCTGCTCTGGGTCTACGTCGGCGTGTTGGACAAGCGGAGGAGGAACTACGACCCGGTGAAAGCTGTCACTGGAGTGGACGGCCGGCTCGGGGGGTTGTTTAAAATTTCGGTAGAAAAATATAAATATGGGGTAAGTAAATATGCTTGTGCAAGGGCATGCGCAAAAGATTTTTTCGAGATTTTAGGTTGTATTGTACGAAATTAACGCTTTGTTTTGAATCGAAAGAGTCGTGCAGAAAGATTGTGGTGGGTACAATTTCTCGTTACTATGTTGAGGTCATTGGTTTTCAAAATTTTTGTCATATTTATGAGAAACTTCTAATATACCGAAATGTTTAATTTGATATTCTTTTTGCAAAATCTTTTTGCAAAAATGTTCATCTTTTAGTTCTGTGGAGTTTAATTAAACTCAGTGAATTTAGCATATTGCATAACTATTTTATTTACATAAATTTTTTTTAATTTTGTGTAAATTATGTCAAAATTAAGACAAATTAAAATATGTGCTCGGTTCCTCACAGATATTAGCAAAACGAAGCAGATACATGTCTAATTGTACTTTTCCATTTCTAACTTCCAGAATAGCGCGCATGTTATAAACTTATGGAATGCGATTTTGGAGTTGTCCCCTCACATGGATGGTTTTTTTCCAATTACGTCCGCCCTCATTCATGAAACCTATCCCAACGTGGACCTGAACCTCCCACCAGATCGAGTTAGCTACAAGCCGAAAAGCTTTTATGTCCCGACCGGCTGGAAAATGTTAGTTCCGCAAGCACAGGATGGAAAGGTTGGTTGAAAAGTTGCAAGTTAAATGTTATACCTCGAATATGAAAATATGACACGTGTTCAACTTACAGGCAAATATATTATTACCACAAGTCCTTCGACACAATTTGGGGAAAGGAATACTTGGGCCAAGACCAGATTCACGGCAACCATGGGTTAATCCAGCTTCACTGCCTTCATGGCGGATTTCCCCGACTTCACTTCGTCCAGGGGCGAATCCACCAACTTCACTGCCTTCCTGGGCGACTCGTCCGACTTCACTGCCTTCCTGGCCGAATCATCCAACTTTACTGCCTCCAGTAGCGAATTTTACAACGTCAATGCCTCCATGGCGTAACGCAAACTCGATTCTGCCACGTGTTAATCCAACTACACCTTCACCGTGGGTCAATCCAACGTCACGTTCTCCACGAGTAAATCCAAGTACAATGCCACAATGGGTTAAGCCAAGTTCACCCCCACTTCCGGTTCCGCCAGCCGCAGGGAACGTTTCTCCTCCTCTCGCGAAGAAGCATAGAGTGGACAAATTTGACAACCCGAAGCCACAGGGTACCGGGGTACTCCAAGTGAAAGACGAATGTCAAATTATTAAGGAGATGGTTAGGAAACTACGAGGCGTGATAGAATTGGCTGACTTGACAGGTCCCTCACCAAAGCTGGAACGCATGGCGGATAAGGATTTCGAGAACGAAATGAAATATCCACAAAGTTCAATACTTTTGAGAGAATCACAAATTGAAGAATCAGACCGACGTAACAAACCGGATGTAATGGGATCAGATTCACAGGTGAAAATGGACGTGAACGGATCGTGTCCCAGCGAGGAACCGGATATGAGCGGATGGGATTCTCGTGAGGAACCGGATATGAGCGGATGGGATTCTCGTGAGGAACCGGATATGAGCGGATGGGATTCTCGTGAGGAACCGGATATGAGCGGATGGGATTCTCGTGAGGAACCGGATATGAGCGGATGGGATCCTCGCGATGAACCGGAAATGAACGAATCGGATCCTCGCGATGAACCGGAAATGAACGAATCGGATCCTCGCAATGAACCGGATATGAGCGGATCGGATTCTCGCGATGAACCGAAAATGAACGAACCGGATCCTCTCGATGAACCGGATATGAGCGGATCCGATCCTAGCGTGGAACCGGATATAAGCGAATCTGATCGTATCTTTGACCCCGAAGTCTTATTATTCGTGACGGACCCTAATACACTAATTAGACTTAATCCGTCCCTCTTTCCTTCCAAGGGTGGTGGTTGGACAGCGAGTTGTCTGCCAAACTGGGGAGAGAGAAATTCCGACAAGAAGGATGACACTCCCGACCCACGTCCGGGCCTTCCAACGGTTCCGGCAGGCTGTACGGAAACCCTGCTTGGGATCGATTTCACACCTGAAGAGTATCTCGAGCAGACGATCGCGGACAATTATTATGCTCAAGGGCTCAAACTGGTTGATGGGGCTAGGCGAGTCGTGTTCTATCATAGAGACAATCAAAGTGGTGCGCCCTGTTAAAAATAATGTTACTCTTTTCAAAAGTAAATGTAGTCTACATTTTATGTTAAGCTAGACTAAATTCATGTTAAGGAGTAAAGATTTCTCCGGTTTTAGTGCAGTTTCTTTAATATAAAATTCAGAGTCTACGGCTTTTAAAAATTGTCAGAGTTATTTTGGGAATTATCACGGTAATTTTTTATTCATATTTTGAAGTTTAATCGGTCATTCATATCCGATGTCTACTTATAAACTAGTGCATAGATAAATAAACCAGATTAACATACGAAGCCTGCCACAAAATATGTACCCTTAACTTATAGGGAACGTCCATGTATTACACTCTTAGAAAAATTGTATTGAATCATTGAATCATCACCAAATGGAGTACATATATGACTTAACGGGAGCGGTGATAAAAGGCAACACCGCATAGTGAAAAATATACACCGTTGTGGTGATGAAAACTCACCACTTGGAATCAGACTATTACCAGCCCGGGGAGAAATTATCACCAAATCAATACCATCACGGAGTGTATGTACATATACCACTTTGCTAAGGAGGGGAGCTTGCGAGGTTGATAATAACAGATCTTGATGCCCTTTGGATATGTGGTAGGGACCCATGAGTGTACTAAAACCCTGAAGTGGTTTGACTCCATGGCCCCATCTGCGCCCGCCACACCCACTCAAAAATGCCCAAAAAACGCTTTCACTCCAGTTTTCACTCACTCAAATCCACGCCAAAAATCCAATTTTACTCGGATTTTGAAATTTCTTTCACCATTACACTCCCAGATAGTTGCTTTCTTCAATCCAATATCAAACTCAATTTTGCTGATGACTATTTCGCAGGCATAATTTGCGTTGTTGATTACTACAACAATCCTCATTCCGAATTGCAATTTTTAAAAATACTAAAAATATCGAAAAAATTGAGTTTGATATTGGATTGCAGAAAGCAACTATCTGGGAGTGTAATGGTGAAAGAAATTTCAAAATCCGAGTAAAATTGGATTTTTGGCGTGGATTTGAGTGAGTGAAAACTGGAGTGAAAGCGTTTTTTGGGCATTTTTGAGTGGGTGTGGCGGGCGCAGATGGGGCCATGGAGTCAAACCACTTCAGGGTTATAGTACACTCATGGGTCCCTACCACATATCCAAAGGGCATCAAGATCTGTTATTATCAACCTCGCAAGCTCCCCTCCTAAGAGTGTACGTCATCATTTTACTGGGTGGCTAGTTTAGGTCTTCCAATCTTTCCAATGTTAAAATTCCCCATCCCCTAATTTATACGTTGAGTGGGTGGGTGCTAAAATCGAGAATATTTTCAGACGTAATATATGGATAGCCCCAATTGCATCCCTACATATTTACTATTTACTTCACACGGAAAGGCCCTCCTTCACCATTGCGGGTATGTCACCACTGGCCGAATGCTTCTCATTTGTGTCACGGATTTCCAGCCAGGTTTGTAAACCGACATCCTGCAATACTTCAATCATTACTCGCACATGCATTACTCAACCAGACTAAGGGACCGTGCAAAAAGGATGTTATCAGTTTGATGGAGGATATGGGTCAACGCATCCTATCCTTGCCATTTAATTATTACATGGATATACACATGTCACAGCATACATAGATATAGGTCAAAATTCTTCAATAATCGATGACGTGCTTTATGTAAGGCCCCGAAAGAAATATTAACGAAATGTCACACCAAAAATGAACCAATCTACTCAGCTCACTTATGCATTTACGAGTGAGTGCAGGGACAAAATCGGCCCATAACCACATGTTCCAAAAGTCTAAAAAATCATAAACTTATTCCTAAAAGTTGCCTCGGAAATTGGTACTTTATATACGTAAATACTTCTCTTCAAAAATGAACTTTGATAACTTTCGCAGCTTTCGAGACCTCATCGACCGAATTAATCTAACAAGGGACACTCACGACCTGTCGTTTGAGTCCAGGGTACCCACTATGTTTTTTAGAATCTACTAGGACCCCAGATGAAGGATTCTTTCATATTTCTGTGTAAAACTCATATTTGGCGCCATGGCGTGGCGCCAAATTCGCCAAATTTGGTGGTTTTTCATTTTAAAACCGCCGTAACTTTTGAAATCCTGGACGGATTTTCAAAATTTTTGGCAAAAATCATGACAAGGAGTTCAACTTTCGTATTCTATGAAATTTTTTCCAAAATTGTCGCTTTTAACTTTTCGCAAAATTTCGAAATTTCGGGTTCGTCGAAAAAATGCTAAAAATATCTCAAAAATTAAAATTTTTTTATTTTTATTTTTTTCTCTAAAATTTCGACTTTTCTGATCATTTTAAGCATAAAATTTTAAAAATCCGACATAAACTGCAAAAGTTATGGGGGTTTGAAATTGGTCGAAAATGCAAATTTTTAAGTTGGGCGCCACGCCATGGCGCCAAGTATGAGTTTTACACGGAAATATGAATGGATCCTTCATCTGGGGTCCTAGTAGATTCTGAAAAACATAGTGGGTACCCTGGACTCAAACGACAGGTCGTGAGTGTCCCTTGTAAGATATAAAGATTCTAAAGTGTCAATTGGTGGTGTCCCGAGCAACATTTCCAAGGAGGTGGAGTCCAACTATATTGCGAAATTGGTTCGTTTGGCCCGCAGCGAGACGGATGTCTATAAGTGTCTCCGATATCTTGAAGACAAACTGGTAAGCACACAGACCATAGGTCGACGCCGACAAATTTTCGGCGTCGCGGCACGGCGTCGCAATGTTAAGGGAATAGGAAAAAAAAATTTCGGCGGCGGCAGCGCGTAAAATGCTACCGGCGTTCGGCGTCGACCTCTGAGTCACAGACTAAAATTACACACTCTTAGAAATGGGGTTAGGATTATAACCAAAAAGTAAACGTATTTGACCCTACCGCCGTGGTTATAAATTTGTCATCGAGTGGTTACAATTGTCACCGACTTGGTATTAAATTGTCACCACCAGAGCTAATAAATTTATAACCAGTTGGTGACAGATTCATAACCACAGCGGTGGAGTCGCAGTCACATGCATTTACTTTTTGGTTATAATACTAGCCCCGTTTGAGTGCATATTTACAGTGTGGCGAATACGTTTTACACACTGAAAATGCAGGTGTTTTAGGACTAGCACTCAGGAGGGGAGCTTGCGAGGTTGATAATAACAGATCTCGATGCCCTTTGGATATGTGATAGGGTCTCATGAGTGTACTAAAACCCTGAAGTGGTTTGACTCCATGGCCACATTTGCGCCCGCCACACCCACTCAAAAATGCCCAAAAAACGCTTTCACTCCAGTTTTCACTCACTCAAATCCACGCCAGAAATCCAATTTTACTCGGATTTTTAAATTTCTTTCACCATTACGCTCCCAGATAGTTGCTTTCTTCAATTCCATATCAAACTCAATTTTGCTGATGATTATTTCGCAGGCGTAATTTGAGTTGTTGATTACTACAACAATCCTCATTCAGAATTTCAAATTTTAAAAATACTAAAAATTTCGAAAAAATTGGGTTTGATATTGGATTGAAGAAAGCAACTATCTGGGAGTATAATGGTGAAAGAAATTTAAAAATCCGAGTAAAATTGGATTTTTGACGTGGATTTGAGTGAGTGAAAACTGGGGTGAAAGCGTTTTTTGGACATTTTTGAGTGGGTGTGGCGGGCGCAAATGTGGCCATGGAGTCAAACCACTTCAGGGTTTTAGTACACTCATGGGACCCTATCACATATCCAAAGGGCATCAAGATCTGTTATTATCAACCTCGCAAGCTCCCCTCCTCAGGATGTATTTTTCGTCAAGAACTACACGTTCTTGGCCATGCGTTAAATTATTTTTTCACCGAAATTACCCTATCCTTTCACTATCTTCCGTCCTCTTTCACTTTCTTGATTATATTTCGCGACTCTCCGACAGCAAAGTAATATTAGTTGGAGGAAACTTGTTGCCTAATTTTGTTAATTTATTCGCAGCCAACAATCGAGGGTGGCCAGTGGGCCGTCTTTTGTTGGGCTTACGCCGATATCCTGCACAAAGAAAAGGGCCCCCTCCCTCAAGGCGGGCGATGTCGAAAAGTAAAGGACTTCTTCGCATTTTGCATCCAACATCACGCAAAGGTTTGTTATTCGCTTTTTAAACCTACACTCGAAGTAAAAGTTGTTGAAAATTTAATCAAGGTTAAGTAAAAAAGTGGATGATATATGTAACAACTAGCGTGTAAGCCTGTCTCCCGCCGGGCGGAAGTTGAAAAGATTCTTAAAATTTCACCGATTGAATATTTTGTAGAGATTTGTTAACGGAAACAATTTGCCGCCAACGGAAGTTAAAATGTGTATCAAACTAAATGAGTTCACCGCCACATGAAAATAACATGGGCGTGTTATGCTCGTCGACAGTGACGGTGAACATATGTACTGTGAAACCGTGTTTAAAGTGGAAAATTAAATTAAATTATTTTTTTAATTAGATTTTTGAATCTTCGCGCCACTGGAAACTTGAGTTTCTTTACTTTCACTTCCATTACAGACAGGCCCCGATCTAGCCCAAAATCTTACCCGGGCAAAGAAATTAGGCGCCCCTAGCCGCTCGCGCCTACGGCGCTCGCACGTGGTTTTTTCGCAATCAAATATTTTCGCAAAATATTCTTACCCAGCCCTTAGATATATACAATGAGATAACCAACTTTTTGCGCTCCTACAACATTGATATATAATAGGTTGAAATTTGCATAATATTGAGTAGATCAAATAGTCGGTAATGCAGATACTGTCTCATTTGCCCGGAGTTCTTAAATCGAGGATAGAGTTTTACAAGGGAACTGGCCAAGGTGTACAGCTGCTCCTCCCATAATGGATGAATCCGGGATAACATTAGCCGAACAGCCGACTTATTTTATTATTTCACATCACTCATTTTTATTTTGGCGTTCAAATTATTCAATTTCGTATGATTTCTACTTCTATTATTTTTATTTTGGCGTACAAGTCATACGAAACTGAATAATTTGAACGCCAAAATCAAAATGAGTGATGTGAAATAATAAAATAATTCGGCTGTTCGGCTAATGTTATCCCGGATCCATCCATTACGGGTGGAGCAGCTGTACACCTTGGCCAGTTCCCTTGTAAAACTATCCTCGATTTAAGAACTCCGAACTCAAAATGAAACAGTAATATTGGGGGCGCGCTTAGCAAATTTTCGAGACACATGTCAAAATTTGCAAATTTTTTGCAAATTTTCCTCATCCTGATTTCCACATCCTGATCCAAAATCGTGCACATATACATATTAAATCAAATATCAATATCAATAATTTCAAATTTTTTTTGACTAATATTTTGCCGCTGCCCGATTTTTGACTTTGATTTGGTAACTTGTTGAAGTCTGAAAAATTATATCATTTCCCCTGATAGTTTTTACACGCTCGAAATATAGGATTTTGGCACGAATGAATGGTGAGTGGATTCGTTAGATAGAATCCGTTAGGTTTTACGAATTTTATAAATAACAGGATATTTCGTAAATTATTTAGAATTCTGTTAATTACACATCGACTTATGCGTATGTAGCTACATAAATACCTATTTATGTTTATTCTCTTAACAAATATATAAATATGGCCAATCAGGGTTAATTAAGATAAATTGGGTTGCAGAATAAATTGTAAGATGGAACACCTGCTCTATCTCACATTGCCCACGGTAGCAGCTAACAAATGTGCAGAGTTGTGGCCCAGAAAAATTGTGCCTGGTTGCCGTTCCTGTTTTTGCAAAATGTACAAAACGTTATGGCCCGCAGATTTAACTTAAAAGTATATTTATCAAATGGCAAGACTAAATCACAATTATCAATTATATTTTCTTTTCAATTCTTATATGTACATGAGACAAATATTTGTGTAAAACCTTTTTGTGTTAGCCGTCAAGCGTTACAAGATTTTTGTAAATCAAGCTTGATGTAAATAAATAAATCAATCAAGCACTCGTACATTTAGACCTCCCCGGTTTTATTTTGACTTAAAACCCTAACTCATCCTTAACAGGTTCATGCCTTAAATACTTCCCACTGATTATTTCGGGCCAACTTGGGAATTGCTGAATCAATTCAATTCTGAGAAGTTACAAATTACACTGCAATGTGTAACTTTCCAGAAATGCAATGATCCCAGTTCTGAAACGTTAAAATCGCTAAAGTTCGCCTTATGTACAGTGGGGAGCAAATTAAATTGTACGGTAGAAAAACAGTTCTATCTCGCACATTGACAAGGATAAGGGCTTGAAAATTTGCAAGGTAGTACCCCAGAAAGATTGTCATTGGATGCCGGTCCTGTTTTTTAAAAATCTCAAAAAGGTCAAAGGTCACAATTTTTTACCCAAAAGCTCATTTTTCAACTTTTACGGTGATTTTTTTTCTTGGGGGCTTTATTTTTTAATCGGTAGCTCAACTCGATGTGAAGATTTTGATATCTTGTTCGGTTCTCTTCGCGTTTTTTTTGACGAAAGTTATGAATTTTTGAAAACAGCGAATTTTGAAAAGTTTAACATTGCGCTTATGGGAGAATCTGGAAAAATCCGCAAAATTCGCAAAAATTCATAACTTTCTTCAAAAAAAATCTTAGAGAACCGAACAAGATATCAAAATCTTCACATCGAGTTGAGCTACCGATTAAAAAATGAAGCCCCCAAGAAAAAAGATCACTGTAAAAGTTGAAAAATGAGTTTTTGGGTCAAAAATTGTGACCTTTGACCTTTTTGAGATTTTTAAAAAACAGGAACGGCATCCAATGACAATCTTTCTGGGGTACTACCTTCCAAATTTTCAAGCCCTTATCTTCGTCAATGTGCGGGATAGAACAGTTTTTCTACCGTACAATTTAATTTGCTCCCCACTGTACCCACCCAAAAGCTAACATGTGTCACTAAAATCACTAAATTTTTGCCCCACTCGTTTTTCGATTAAAATTGTGTTATTGTTAACTATTTCGATATTAGATCTGAATTCCAAAAATTCGAGAAAAACGTGAGTAGGGGACAAGAAGTTATAGCGCTTCAAAATTGTTAGTCTAAATTTTGAAAATTTAAAACTTATAGAGTTTAGATAGGTGAAATAGAGTTTAAATAGGTGAAATTAATTTTTACCTTTCAAATAGATATTAAGTTCGTCTGCCTACTAATTCGTGATTATTGTTAAAATTGGGGTCAAACTCTGAGACCGATGCCACAATTTGAAATATGCCTTCAAAAAAACTTACAATGCAGGTAAGTTACGTGCAAACGCCAGATCTTTATAGGACCAATTATATTTTGCTCATCACAATAAATAAAAACGTCAAAATTTTTTGAATTTTGCATTTTTCATAATGAGCTAATTTGAACGCTAAGAGCGAATTTTAAGTTGTTTTCCAGCCAAAACATCGTTTTTTAAATTCTACAAATTTTCTAATTTCATGGCGAATCCAAAAATGCGAAAAGATGTCTCTTCAGAAGAATCCATATCAAATTGACCCCGTCAGATTTCCCCGCGACAGATTTCCCCGGTCATATTGACCCCGCGACAGATTGACCCCAAGTCATATTGAATGCCTTACTTCATTTACAAAAAATCCACATGCAATATTGTTTGAAAATTTGAACGAGTTTATAATTTTAATGAATTTCAAATACTGGCAAGGTGTTCTGACCTTAAAATTTGGAGACAGATGATTTTCTTATAAGTCAGGTAAGTCATTCTGGTGAAGCATGTTTTGGAACTTTTTTATTCGCGCTGAAATTCGAAAATTTTAAAACCGAAGTTTCGGTTGGAAAACAGTTTATAATTCGCACCAAGGGCTCAACGCTGCGCATTATGAAAAATTCAAAAGTACGGCGATGCTTTTTTTTCTGGAGAGCAGTATCAAATTGGTCACATGGAGATTTGAGCTTCACTTGTAAAAGACATGCGTAGTGAGTCCTATTTGACATTTTTCAAAAATCTGAATGATATAGATACAATCACAATTTTTCTGGGCTACCATCATGCAAACTTTCATGATGCTAAGCAACCAATGCGAGATAGAAATTGTAAAGCGTAAACTTTAAATGTATTGTCAGTCATATTATTTTAGATTTAAGTTTTAGACAATTTACATATTGAGCAAAATAGAGGTTAACACAACAAATGGGTGAAATTTGTGCAATCATTTATTTAACGGTTGGATATTTTTTCAGAACCATGGAATGAATTTTACCCCATAATCTATTTTATTCAACCTTGAGTTGGATTACTTATCTTTATTTACAGTGTGGGTGAAAATTTAGAAACTGGGAGTTTCAAAGATTGTAGTGGTGCATCAACACATCAGTGCTGTCGCAATGAGTTGTCCAAACTTGATAAAAATAAAAATTCCAAGAAAATATTTTCAAAATTTGCAACAGGAAAATTCAATTATATCTAGTGTAAACCCGGGAGCCTACCGGCGCCCCGGGCTCCTGCCCGGGTTGCCCGCCCCTAAATCGGGGCCTGGCTTCGTTAAATTTACAATTTCGAGTTTATTTCACATTTGTTGAAAAACCCCTAACATAAAAATGGCCACGTAACCGTCTCCCAGCTTGCAATGTCAGCCCGTTAATAAAATTCGTTATCAATTTACATTTCAGAGTTTACTCGAAGTCTACGAAATCATGGTGATGATTGACCACGCCGGAAAGTTAGGTCCCCTGCATCAGACAATGGTTAAAAATGAAGCGAAAATAGGTTCGGAAACTTGCTCCATGGAGGAAATCATCCTCAACAAGGCCAAGACTTTTTCTCGAGGCGGGGGAAACCTCAGGATCAGTGCCATCGGTTCCGCCGCGTACGGTTCTTCCACCATAAGACGGTCAATTTCCGACTTTTATCCCAACCTCGCAGTGCCCGACAAGAACGCGGGTGTATCTGATCAGGCGAAACAATCAATTTCTAACCCTCTCCCTAAAACTCCCGTGTCGGGCAAGAAACGCCAACTCCCCCAATCATGGGACATGTCCCTGTGCGCTGACCTCCGTTTCCCCTCAGATCTGACATGGCTACCCGGCAGAATAGCAGAATTGGTGGTCATGCCCGTATTCGCAGATGCCACAGATCCGTCCATCCCAATTTGCGAAAAGTTAGACACAATGCACGAAAGGGTGGCACCTTCACGCGAGTCTGTCTTAGCGATCGCGCTGCTTTGGATCTACGTCGGGGTGTTAGAGAATCGGAGGAAGAAGTACGACCCGGTTAGGGTCATCACGGGAGTGGACGCCCGGCTCGGGGGGTTGTTCAAAATTGCGGTGGCAAGAGATAAATATGAGGTAAATATTATGTACATAATATTTGTGCACGCGAAAAAGGACAAAGATTTTTGTACAGTTCATGTAGGTTTTATTGTAAGAAAGTCGAAGTTTACATGTTGTTTGACTGGTTACAAGCGAAATTATAATTTTCTAAGAAATGGTTTAATTAGGGAAAAAGAGGAAAAATTGTAGTTATGGTGCAGATGAAAAATATTTATCGTGTCTAATACATAGGTCATTGATATTCGTTAAGTTTGTCCCGGTGAAGTAAAACCCGTCATTTTGACGGGTTTCTGCTATGCTAACCCTAATGTTAAATTTGGAACTCTTCTCGCAAAAAATGTGAATGTTTCTCAATATAGCACAATGCTATATTTTCGCCTTTTAGTTTTGTCAAGTTTTATTAAACTCAGTTAACCTTTCTTCCTGCATCATGACCAAAACATGGTTACAACTCTTGCTTTGTCTTGTAGCTAATCACACTTCTTAAGGGGTTGATTACGTAACATGAGAATTTCTTATCTACTGTGAGCCACAAAATCTGTACCCATGAGGCTGCAGCTGGGGCACAATATTTTGCCAAATTCTTACCATCGCACAAACTGCCTGAAGAAACGTTGGTTGTGTTGACATGGACCACTTAATTTCAAAATTTTAACCAATTCGGAGGGTTACACTTTACACCATCGCATTGTTAATAGAAAAAAACAATTTTCTAAGAATATTTTATAAATTATGTCAAAATTTCAATTTTTGTACGTGGTTCTCCACAGAAACGTTTTTGCTTCCACCTGTCTGGCACAGAGTTTGGGTTCATTCTACAAGATAGCATTTCGGGACATTAGGGGCCGTCCATAAATTACGTAACGGGCAGCGGGATCTTAGGCTCCAATTATATAGTGCCTAAGCTACACATGCTAAACGGGGGGAGGGGGCTTAGAAAATCGTGATTTTTGCGTTTATGGACGGCCCTCATACATACTCCCTGTCGTCATGCATAAAAGCTATTCAATATTTTCTGTGGTGAAAAGACAGATCGCACACATAAGCGTTCCCAAGCGCAGTATAAAATTACAGATGCACGTCAAATAAATCGTTTTCATTTCTAAATTCCAGAATATCAAGAACGTCACAAATCTGTGGAATGCGATTTTGGAGTTGTCCTCTCACATGGGTATCTTTCCAGTTACTTCCGCCATCCTGCGCGCAGCCTATCCCGATGTGGACCTGAACCACCCGCCAGTTCGAGTCAGCTACAAGCCGGATATTTTTTTTGTCCCGACCGAGTTCAAAATGCCTTTGCCGTCAGCAAAGGGTGGAAAGGTGGGTCATAAAGTTGCAAGCCAAATGTCACACTCCGTCTTTGCACATATATATAAATATATGGCAGGAGTTAATTACAGGGATTATGTTACCATAGGTCCGCCGACACGAATTTTGGAGGGAAGAATTTGACAAATTACTAGCCAACGTAGTGTCACTCCCGACAAAGACCAAGCAACCTTCGCTGCCACCAAAGGCGAAGTCAAATTCACTGCCAACGTCTGTTAATCCAACTACACCATCACAACGGGTCAATCCAACTGCGCCTCAACAGTGGGTCAATCAAACTGCGCCGTTACCGTGGGTCAATCAAACTTCACCACCACCATGGGTTAATCAAAGTTCACTGCCGACAAGTTTCAATCTAACTTCAGTGCCGCTAAGTTTCAATCTAACTTCACTGCCGCCAAGTTTCAATCTAACTTCACTGCCGCCAAGTTTCAATCTAACTTCACTGCCGCCAAATTTCAATCCAGCGTCACTGCCGCCAAGTTTCAATCCAAATTCACTGCCGCCAAGTTTCAATCCAAGTTCCTTGCCGCCAAGTTTCAATCCAAGTTCACTGCCGCCAAGTTTCAATCCAAGTTCACTGCCGCCAAGTTTCAATCCAACTTCACTGCCGCCAAGTTTCAATCCAAGTTCACTTTTCCCAGGTTTCAATCCAAGGTTACTGCCTCCAGGTTTCACCCCAACTTCACTACCACCATGGGTTAAGACAAGTTTTCAGCCACCGCAGGTTCAGCGGTCCACAAGGAATTTGCTAGCCAAAAAGCAGAAAGTGGATAAGTTTGACAACCCGAGGCTAGAAGTTCCCAGGGCCGTAAAAGTGAAAGAGGAAAGTGCCCCTCAAATTGCTAAGGAGACGGTCAACAAATTACAGAGCTTGCTAGAATTGGAGGACTTGACAGGTTACTCACCTAAAGAGGGATGCAGTCGGGATGTAGATTTCAAGAAGAAAGTTACATCTCCACGAAATCAAATACCTTCGAAGGAACCACAAATTAAAGTGATAGATCCAAGTGGCGAACAGGATGTCATGGGCGCAGGGCCAGGCGAAGAACCGAATGTAAACGGGTGGCACCCTCGCCGTAACCCGGATGTAACGCAATCCAATTCCCCGGCAACACCTATCTGGGACAAACCCCTCGAGGGCTGGCAGAACTCCCTGTGCGATTGCATCCTTCACTCCCCGAATAAGACGAAAATACCCGGGAAGATTGCAGACTATGTTAAACGACCCGCATTGTCGGCCAACAGTGATCCCACAATCGCGATTTGCGAAGGGTTGGAAAAAATGTGCACGAAGGTCGGGCCTCGATACGAGTCCGTCCTAGCGATAGGACTGCTCTGGGTGCACGTCGCCGTGTTAGAACGGCGGATGAAGGACGACCCGGTAACAGCCGTTAATGGGGTGGATACCCGTCTTGGCGGGTTGTTTGAACTTGCGGTGAAAAAGGATAAACATGAGGTAGGTTTATTAATATATAATATTTATGTATGCAAGTTCGTGAAAAATGGGGAAGATTAGTAAATGTGCAAAAGCTAATGGACCCTCAAGTCTATACAATTAACCTCCACCAATTAACCTGCACCCTAAATTCTAAATAAAATAAAATGTTCAACATTACGACAAGGTAAACCCAGGGGTTTAGCAATTGGAAACCTATACCCAGGAGTTTTACCTGAGTTTCTCATTTAGTGGGGATTTGTGGGAGAAACTGAGTCACCAGCTTGTATATTAAGTTCTGAAAACTCGGAAGAAAGCAGTTTATTAATTCAATTTTAGTAACGCAATGATTTTTAGAATTGCCTCTAATATCATATTACCGTACTTTATCAAATTTGAACCCACCAACTTCTCAGTGTAATGCTGACAACAAAAGAACGTAGATATTATGTTATATGGTTTACTTAATGTAGAATCCAGAATGCATAAAAACATTCACAAAATGCATTCTGAAAGTAAATTTACTTTACAACAGCGTAGCATTATTTTCAAGCATGTAGCATTATTCGCACTGGGTCTCCTTATTAAGGAGTCCTTAAACAAATTAATCCAACATTTAAATACTTCGAATTTTTACCTTCCAGAACAGCGAGCACATTATAAACCTGTGGAATGCAATACGGGAGTTGTCCCCTCACATGGGTGGTGTCTTTCCAATCACGTCCGCCATCCTGGCGGAAGCCTATCCGCACCTGGACTTGATCCTATCGCGGGATCGTGACAGCTACAAGTCGGATAAATTCTTTGCCGCGTTAGCCTCCAAGATGCCACCCCCCGAAGCAAATCGTAAAAAGGTATGTCACCAATAACCAAGCAGATCTTGCATGTCATACAAATGGGACTTAAAAACAAGAAAAATGCTTCTTTAGGTCGGGGAAAACAAGGAAATGGGAAAAGACTCGGTACCAGAAGTGGGTAAAGGTCAACCGCCACCAGCTTTTGAAAAAACCCCGGCAGAAAAGGTAGGTAACGAAGTAATATGTTAGGTCCATAAATCATGTCACGCGAGAGGGGGGAGGGGATCAAAGGTTTCAATGAAATCGTGCCTAGGTGTTACACATGTTAAAGGGCGAGGGGGTCTAGAAAATCGCAATATTTTATAAAAAATCGAACAGATTTGCCAGTATTCTAGACCCTACGGTAAAGTCTAGTGTGGTAAAAAAAAATTGGTTTAAAAACGGAAAAAATAATGTTGAGAAAATATTATTTTCGGGTAAACGGATAACCGGTGTTCCACGTGTCCTTCAAAATTGGAAAAACCAGTTTTGGATGCCCTAATCACGAATTCGACATGATAATAATTGTAACCCTTATTTCAGGAGCAACGTGAGAAGAGACCGGAAACTTGTTTACGATCATCAATGCTTAAGCTGTACAAAATTCTTGATTCTCCTCCAAAGAAGAAGAAAAAAGAGGACAAGTTGGACGAGCACGACCCTGAGTTGACCCCGGAAGCAAAAAGTGCTCGTCAAACTGTTCATAAGAAATCACATGAGTTGATTGACCTGACAATAAAAAATGATACAACTCGGGACATTAATTTCGGCCAATCTTCACAAAACTTAACAGAAGATCACAGGTAGAAGAATCAGGTTCATGCGGGGAACCCGATGTAGCGGTGTCAAGTTCACGGGATTCAACGGGACCCGATCCCGAAGCGGATTTCACCGAATTCGATCCAAACGACGAACCGGATTTCACCAAATTCGATCCAAACGACGAACCGGATGCAAAAGGATCCAGTTTACATCCCTCGGATCCGGATGTCCTCTTATTCGTGACGGACCCACACACCGTGATAAGACTGAATCCGTCCCTTTTCCTTTCCGAAGGTACTAGTTGGTCGGCGAGTAGTCTGCTGCCCTCTGAGGGGAAGAAAAGGCTAGAGAAGAAGGATGACGACGTCCCCGACCCACCACCACCACCACTTCCGGTCTTCCCGACAATTCCGGCAGGTTGTACGGAAACCCTGCTTGGGATCGACTTCACCCCTGAAGAGTATCTCGAGCAGACGATCGCAGATAATTACTATGCTCAAGGGCTTAAACTGGTTGATGGGGTCAGACGAGTCGTGTTCTATCATCGAGACAATTTTTCAAATGGCGCAACCTCATAATAATTGTATTACTCTTTTACAAAGTAAATATAATCTACATATACACATATATACATATATATATATAAACTGTACTAAATTCGACTCATGCTGACTTGTAAACAGGAAAGATTGCCCCGGATGTACTATAGTTAACTCAATACAAAATTCAACCCGAGCATGTTTGTAACAAGGGTAACATTATTTTTAAGAGTGTGCTTTGGTGCATACACATAAATACATATCTACATATGTAACGTTCAAATGATGCTCCTGAACCATTTCGGTAGGTGGCTACTAAATATGCGTCTGGAATTTTAAGTGTAACTTTTCACATCACGAATTATGCATCACTTTTCTCAATGTTTATAATAATCTCTGCTATTACTAAATATAAAATAAAAATGAATACTCAGCTTTTTAAAATAGTTTGATTTTTAACTAATTTTAAATTAAATGTAAGTTACATGTGGCTTAGAAAAATATATATTCGAAACCAAATAGTTGGAAATCTATGCATGCATCATCCTAGAGTAGCCGTCTCATCTCCTCCTGTCATGCAGAAGCAAGGGAGAAGAAAATGAAGTGTCCACTACACTTCATCAATGTATTCATTCCCTTTTCTGTCCCTGCCGATGGACGGCTTGTCAGCTAGTAGATAACAAATGTATGAACCCTTCTACTCCTCCGTTGTATCCCTGTATATTTTTATTACACTGAAGGGCTCCAACTCCTTCACCATTGCAGGTATGCCAGCGTTCGCATATTTCTTAGGGACTCTGCACAAAGCATGGGATCAATTTGAGGGAGTCGTGGCATCTTATCCTTCCAATGTTAATTATAATATGTTCCATGTGTCACAACTGGGTCAAAAATCTCACACTGGGTCAAAATTCTCCGAAAATCGATCACATATTTTATGTACGGCCCTTAAACCGGTATCATGCAGGACATAGTAAAGAAATATCATCTGAGCTCACTTACTACATAGTCAGTTCATTCCAAGGGACAGGGCATATGTATGTACACAAAATTTATTCGTGAGCACATAAATATTCCATCCAAAAGTCTACAAAATCTCATACTTGACCTCGGAAATTATTACATAAAAATTTAAATAAATTGCAAAACAAGAGCGTTGAAACTGTTCAAAAAATGTGTACACAAACTAAACTTGAACAAAAGTTTGCCTCATTTACAGAACTAATCGACCGAATTAATTTAAAATATGAAGATTGTAAATCGACAATTGGAGGTGGTCCGAGTAACATTTCGAACGGGGAGGAGTCCACCTATATTGAGAAATTAGTCGATTTGGCCAGCAATGTGTATAATGTTCAAAAATTTCTACGATATCTCGAAAACACCGTGGTAAGAACGTTATGCCAAAATTTGCTATAAATACTGAGCATCAGAAAATATTAATAATACTAAAAGGCTAAATGGCGGACCTCCCCACGACTAATAAAATGAAGTTTAGTGAAGTTTCGAAATTAATTGTGCCGTCAGTAGTTGTTGATGGATTTTCAAAACGGCATACATTTTGGAAACCTTGGACGAAATTTATATTTTCGAATTTTTGACATTTGGCCCCACACGCTCGAAATCAAGGTTAGGAAACAGGATCCAATTCCGCATCGAATTTTAAAATTCTACGACGGAATTGGGCGACAATTATTGGTTTGAAATACTTGAAATAGTCAGGTCATCATCCTCAGAGATTAGTTTAAAAAAAGGAAGCAAAGGGTTTTTTAAGTTTTTTTTGCACCACCTGTTTTGGAGCCATTGTAGGAGTGGTGACACAATTAGTCCTAATAATTAAGTACCAAAACATTCTTTTCCGGCATTGTTATCCAAATTAAATATCGCCATTCCATATAATATTGCCCATGATCCTATTTACTATTGACAAAATGGAGTTGGCGTACACTGGCATTATAATCAAAGACATGTTTACATGATGTAAAAATGTCTTTAATTTTAATTCCTCGACCATAGTCTTAGTACAAATTGCCTGTTTTATGTGTCACGTGTGAACAACGTGGTTTCTTAGACACACGAATAAAGTTACAGTCCATCAATCAATTAAGTTCAAAGGAAAGTGCTCAATTTCGGAACGTGCATACACTACGTCATCATTTTAAACAGTGGTTGGGTGGTTTAGGTCTTCCTATCTTTCTTATGTTAAAATTTCCTAATTTATACGTTGGGTGATTGGGCGCTAAAATCAAGAATTCTTTATGACGTAATATACAAATGGCCACTTAAATTTAAAAAAAATTATTTATGTACAGCTTGCAGTCAAGGGCGGGCAGTGGATCATCTTTTGTTGGGCTTACGCTGATATCCTACACAAAGAAAAGGGTCAGCTCAATCTTGCCAAAACATGCCCAAAAGTGAAGGAATTCTTCACCTTGTGCATCCAACATCACGTCGAGGTTAGTTAAATACAGAGGCAGCACCGCACAAACTGAAAAAATTCCGAGCCTTTATATAGAATTTCTTTCAAATTTCAATTTCAAGTTTGTTTCACATTTCTTGAAAAAAATATAACCAAAAATGAGGATTTAACCGCCTCTTATACATACTTACATACAAGGGAAGATTCCCAACTGTTCCTCGAGTTCAGGCTACCCATTATGTTTTTTTAGAATCTACTAGGTCCCCAGATCAAGGATTCACTCATATTTCCGTGTAAAACTCATATTCGGCGCCGTGACGTGGCGTCAAACTTAAAAATATGGAATTTCGACCAAAATTAAAATTAAAAATAAAACTTGAACAATTTTACTTTTTGAAATATTTTTAAGGTTTTTTCGGGTAACCCCTAAGAATATTCGGAAACTTTGAAAAAATTTGAAGACTTAATTTTTTCGAAAAATTTTTGGAAATCGAAAGTTGAACGCTTTAACCTCCTCTCAACTCTAGATGGCTGCCCCTTTGTAACATTTATTATCCATTTAAATTCCAGAGTTTACTCCAACTTCACGAAGTCATGGTGATGATCGACCACACCGAAACGCTGGGTCCCCTGGAGGGGGCAATTGTTAAAAAGGGTTTGAAGAATTGCCCATTAGAGGAAATCATTCTCACCACGGCAAAGACCTTTTCACGCCGGAAAAACCTCGCGATAAGTCAAATCGGTTCCGCCGCTTGCGGGTCTGGCAAACTAAGAGCTTCAATCTTCGACTTCTACCCGCAACTACCCGTTCACCTTAAATATCCGGCATGGGTCGGAGACCTCGAACCGTGGCAGATGTTGATGTGCGATTGCCTCCTTTACCCCGCGGGCCTGGCGAAACTACCCGCCAAGCTCGCAGAAATAGTGGAAATGCCCAAATTTGTAGACGCACCGGATCCATCCACCTCAATTTGGGAAATCTTGAAGCCAATGTGCACCAGGGTTGGACCTCCACACGAGTCCGTCGTGGGGATCACGTTACTCTGGATGTACGTCGGCGTGTTAGAGCTGCGGAAGAAGTTCGGCCCGATGGTACAAGCCAGAAGGGGACTGGATGCCCGGGTAGCGGGGTTGTTTAAAATTGCGGTGGCACGAGATAAATATGAGGTAAATGCATGCATGTATTTATAATAGTTGTGCAAGTGCATGGATAAACATTTTAAATTGGATATTGGAAAACTAACCCAGCAATTACATCAAGTAGGTTCTACGTACTTGTAATACAGAGACTGGTCAATCCCGGATTAAGGATTGGGGATTGAGATTAGGATTGGGGATTAATTAATCCTCAATCTCAATCTTTAATCCCAAGTTCTAGAATTTTAATCCTTAATCCCTAATCCCCAATCCCTCTATGCCAAGTTTAATCCTAAAGTGGGATTAGAATGGGATTAAAATGGGATTAAATTTGCAATGAATGAAAAATCGAAAAGCTAACTTCTCTTAAGATCTCTCCCTTTTCAAGAATTGATTGCATTTCGTTCATTTTTATCATATATTTAAAAATACTGCACATCATTTTGCAAAACTACTCATAACGTGGTATCCTCAATGCACAATTTTCAACATTGGTGTGAGCAATGTGAGTGCTCGGCTCAAATTCTGGTCAAAGTTTTCCGTTAAAAATAGTACCTAGAGTAAAATTAGCATTTTTCCCGTATATAATTTTTAGTGCAAAAAATATTCAATTGCTATTTAAAAATTTTATTCCTAAACGATCTAATTTTGCATGTGAAATGTTCAAAATATTTCTTGTTCCGACCCAAGCAACCAAAATCTGCAAATATTGTACCAAATTTGTACAACTGGATTATTGCATATTTTCCGTTAAAATGTGAAGCCGACTTGTGCTTATTTTGTACAAGTCGCATTTGCAAAATTCATACCAATAATTTATCACTGCAAGTTTACTTGTACCAAATATGCACAAAATTAACACAAACAAATGTGTACGAATTTAGTGTAAATTTGGTGATGATTGACATGCATTAATGAAGTGAGAATTTAGTGCGAATTTAGTGCGAATCTATTACTAATTGTGTGCTAATGGTACGCATGAAATTAATACAAATTCATTTACACGTATTACTCACATTTAAATTATTATTTATTTATTACACATTCATCTGTTGTACATATTTCTACAATAATGTTAGGTATCTCCAAATACTTAACTAATTAATAGATAATTGCAAATTGGGATACACAAATATTTATCGAAATTAATCGGTAGAATACGTACTTACGGCGTATAGAGAAAGACTAAATTAAAATGAATTCCTGAGAAATGCCTCATTATTCACCTCAGGCTCTTTTGCTGATAATTTAGGGCGATCCCGTTTGCCGTTATCACATGAGTCGATAGGTTTATTCCTTGTATGTGTTCCCAACGTATGAATCTATAAATTAAGCAAAACGTATATTTATATAAATAACCCGAATATATATTAATGCAAAAGTAGCCAACAACAATATGCATATATGTAATTACCGTATTTTTCGACATATCACATGCCATGAGTCGTCCAATCTTTTGAAATCCACGTAGACGGCACAATCTCCACTCATTTGTCGCCTTCAAACTCGAGGAATACGAACTTTTATCCGAAATAGGATTTTGATTTTCGACCATAACTATCGAAGCAAATTTTTTGGTTGGAAATTAAAAATGGAGAAGAGATGATGGAGTTGATGTCACGGCATGGCAAAAAGAATAACTGACTTGAGGTTTGTTTATTTAATCACGAATAGAGAAATGATACTAATTTAGTACTAAATTATTACAGAATAATCGGTACAAATTTTGTGTGAATATGCTGGCACCTGTTTACTGCATTTTGAGTTTGTACAATTTCCCAGGTACTATGGTGTGTCCCATATTAAGTTGGAAGATGACATATGACCTGTGGAATTTGACCTGGTTAAAAGATTTTTATAAAACCTTTGGGGTGGTGTAGCTGGGAATCATACTAACCAGTTTTTGTCCCGGGAGATTTTTTTTACTCCATTCTTGGCCACCAATCATAATTTCCGCAGCGACCTCCGAATTAGTGATTTTCATTGGCTTTAAATTGCCCCCGGAGTGACCCGAAAAAGACGTGGCAGTACTTCAAAACCGAAAAACGACAATCACCCTATATATTTCGAAGTATAAGGATGACAAAAGGTGAAATTCGGAAAACATTCTGGCCCACCTCTCGTCACAGCCACTCATCAAAATGTAAAAGCCATCAAAATACTCATCACCAACAATTCTTCCCTGTAAATTTTCCCCGCCACTTGGAAGCTGCAAATTTTAAAAAGTTTGTTGAGCAGCCTGAACGTTCATAAATTGGGGAGTACAGAGAAAAATAAGCCAAGTTTCCCGAAGTACGATAAAGACCAAAAAATCACTGTCCAAAAGTTTCGCCAAAAAATGTGTCGATAAATGTCATTAAAATTATGGTCAACAAACACCAGACCTACGTCGACCCCGGTCCCTTAGAGACTTCGGAAAACACATCATTTCACGCAGGCAGATCAGCCAATGTGGATTATCGACGGAAGTTGTTTATGACAACTAAATTCTTTTAAAATTCCTCGTTAATCATGGCACGGTTAACATTGGGAAAGATACCCTTAAGACAGAAAACCCTCCAAATGTCTCTATTTGAAAGAAATCGAAAAGATTTGGCCCTTGTGCAAAAGAAGGCACTCTAACCTTCACCACAAGGCGAAAAAACAGGAAACATTCGAACGTTAACGGCGAAAAATCAGCAAGAACATTTCTCAAGCGAGTGAAAATCGCAAATTCGAGGGTTATTGCGGAGCGTCGGATTGGTGGCCAAGAATGGAGTAAAAAAAATCTCCCGGGACAAAAACTGGTTGGTATGATTCCCAGCTACACCACCCCAAAGGTTTTATAAAAATCTTTTAACCAGGTCGAATTCCACAGGTCATATGTCATCTTCCAACTTAATATGGGACACACCATAATTATGCATGAATTTGGTGCAAGAAATCTCATGAAAATTTAGTGCTAACAAATACGCACGAAATATTCACTTGTTCCTTTGTAATAATTTGCTACTAATTAATTTGTGATAGTTTCGTGGATTTCGAGTGCTAATTTATTAGCAGCACAAAAATTGATACAAATTTTGCACGAATCTTGTACAAATTAATGATTACAACTTTTTATGCACAAAAATTGCATAAACTTGCATTGGGATTCGCAGTAAATTCGCATTGAGGTTGCTTGGGGAAGTTCAGATTCATTTAATTAATTTAAAAATCTGGCATAATGAAATTTAATGCAAACAATTAATCCAGGACTAAATTAATTCCCAATCCCAGAAAACTACCCAAAATTTAATCCCGAATTAATCCCAATCCCAGAATTCAATCCCTAATCCCAATCCTTAATCCCACAATTTTAAAATTAATCCTTAATCCTCAATCTCAATCCCAAGATTTTAAAATTTAATCCTCAATCTCAATCCTTAATCCCGATATCTTTAATCCGCCAGTCTCTGCTTGTAAATCATTTCCATGTTAAATGAACTTGCAGAATAGCGAGTACATTATAAACTTGTGGAATGCGATTTTGCGTCCGACATCCTGGCCAGAGCATATCCCATATTGAACTTAACCCTTCCCCCGGATGAAATTAGCTACAAGCCGGATAAATTCTTTGCCGCTGTCGCCTCCAGAATGTCAACCGATGCAGCAAATCATGAACATGTAAATATGTCACCAATCGACAATGCCATGTGTTACATCCGGAGCTTATCAGTAGAAGGTCGCAGGTAGTCCCAGATTTCGATATCCCTTTGGTAAGTATGTTGTGGGACTCTATGACCGTAAAGAAAGTGTGGAAAGATTCCACTCCACGGGGCCAACTGTGTCCACCACACTCACCCAAAGGCGTGAAAACTGCAACAATTTGCCCTAGAAAAGTCGAGTTTTGCTCATATTTTACAAGTATTTATATCTCTGTGATCCAACATCGGTGCATTATATTCAATAGCAATTACAGCTTCTTGGAAAAAATTTTCGATATTTTTCAAGATTTTCTGCCCAGGGGGATTATTTAAAACACTAGAAATTGCAAATGAGTCGAGTTTTCCATTGGATATGTACGATAGAGCAACTGTTTGAGATCACAAAAACATTTTCAAAATCTGAGCAAAACTCGATTTTTGGCGGTGATTTTAAATAGTATGGCAATTTTCGCAGTTTTGACCCATTTGAGTGGGTGCGGGGGATACGATTGGCACCATGTAATCGAATCTTTCTTCCGTTTTAGGTTTTAGTCCCAAAACATATTCAAAGTAGATCGAAATCTGGCGGTCACAACCTGTAACCTACTTCTGCTTAGTGACAAGAAAAATGCTATCGCAGGTCGGGGAAAACATGAATAATGGAGAAGTTGACACACAACCGAAAGCTGAAGTGGGGACAAGTTCACTAACCCAACCAGTATTTAACCCAGCCACAAAGAACGATTCTTCTCCTCCACCCAAGAAGAAGAAAGGGAAAAAATTGGCCAAGCCCGAGTCAGAAAATGCCCGGATAGTACAACTGGAAGAAGCAGACGGTCAACAAACTACTCACAAGGGAACATACCGAGGTGTCCAACGAGTTAAGGGTCGACACCTATACCAAAATGACCACAATGCATGACTTATTAAACAAACTGAAGGAATTTCCGTGTAAAATTCACTTTTCGTCAACTTGTGACGATATTTGTGACGAGCGCATGACCATCGGGTTGCCAGCGAGAGAGGTCGGCCGCTGAATGATCAGGTCGAACACAGAGAAGCGTCGTCGCTTTCACGTCGTCTTCAGGTTTTTCGAATTCTTTCAAACAATCTTTGAAAACATCTTGAAATTTTGAAAAAAAAATTTAGAAAATTTTGAGAAAATTTTGAAATTTTTAGAAAATTTTGAAATTTTGAGAAAATTTTGAAATTTTGAGAAAATTTTGAAATTTTGAAGAAATTTCAATTTTTTTCAAAATTTCAAGTGGTTTTCAAAATTTGATCGAATTTGAAATCTCTGAAGACGACGTGAAGACGACGACGCTTCTTTGTGTTCGACCTGATCGTTCAGCAGCCGACCTCTCCCGCTGGCAACCCGATGGTCATGCGCTCGTCACAAATATCGTCGCAACTTGACGAAAAGTGAATTTTACACGGAAATTCCTTCAGTTTGTTTAATAAGTCATGTATTGTGGTCATTTTGGTATAGGTGTCGACCTTTAACTCGTTGGACACCTCGGTATGTTTCCTTGTCAGAGGATAGACAATAAATTATTAGAATTAACTGACTTAACAATTTCCCCAGTAAAAAATAATCTTAATTCGAACTCGGATTTAGAGAAGAAAGGTCAATCCCCAGAAACTTCAACGCCGTCACGACAACCTACTGGTCACTGCGAGAAAGCAGACTTAACAGGATCCGGTCCACTGGAGGAGCCGGATATAAAGGGATCTGACACTTCTCCCTTCGGCTCTAATGTTTTGTTATTCGTGACGAACCCACACTCAGTCATAAGACTGAATCCGTCCCTTTTTCCGTCCGAAGGTGGTGCTTGGTCGACGACTAGTCTAATGCCCCCGGATGGGAGAAATAGGTTGGAGAAAAAGGATATCGACCTTCTCGACCGTCCGCCACTTCCGGTCCTCCCAACGGTTCCGGCAGGCTGTACAGAAACCCTGCTTGGGATCGATTTCACCCCTGAAGAGTACCTCGAGCAGACGATCGCAGATCATTATTATGCTCAAGGGATCAAACTGGTAGATGGCGTTAGACGAGTAGTGTTCTATCATCGACACAATTTTTAATGATCCGCCCTTTTAAAAATTATGATTGACAAATATGTATTTAAATGTAGTCTAGATTCTATATTATCGTGTATTTAAGTGCACTGTGCTAGATAAAGTTAGAGTCAAGTACGTTAACTTAATAAAAAGCAAACATTGTTCCAGATATAAGGCAGTTTAATTATATTTATTGAGCTTAGAGTGCATTCACTTCGTAAAATGGTATCAATATTTTTAAGAGCGCCCAGAATCTGCAAAATATTAGCGTTTATTTATGATGCTGGTGAATCATAGGGATTTTTTAGTGATCGCAGTTCTCGGCATGTGTCTAAATTTTTTGCTATTTGTAATACAATAAATTATCTACAAATGTGAGATTCGACTTTTTTATAAGTTTAAAACAACTTGAAAAAAAATAAATTGGTTAATTAAAAATAATTTTTATAATTATTAACAGTTCGAAACAATGATTGTTTTATCTCTGCACATTATTAATGTATTCATTCGTGTTTATAAGTATCTGTCCATTAATGGGTTTACATAAACATATGTACTTAAACTAGTAGATAATAACAATGCAGTAACATACAAACCCTATTATTTATGGATTGCATCCCTGAATATTGTCATTACATGCACGGAAAGGCTCGAATTCCTTCACCATTGCCGGTATGTCACCATTCACATACGCAAATATGTATGTACTTGTGGCGTATTCTTGTACTGGATTTTAAGCCAGATTTGTAAACTAACATCCTCCAATACTTCCATGAATCTTGACTTGCATCTGTATTATGCAACAAAGCGATGCGTACATATATTAACAAAGTGTGTATACTTATGTATGTATATAAATATCTATCTACCAAACTCCTGAGCTCACTTACAAGTGAGTGGATTCCAAAGTTCAGAGACATGCTCGCCATAAAATATCCTCATAAGCACATGTTCCACTGGTCTACAAAATTCCCAACTTGGCCTGCGAAATTATTAATTTACATATATAAAACTTCGAAAAAATACACTACCCTGGAAAAAATGGGCACAAAACTGAAACCAGAACAAAACTTTGCCAACTTTAGACAACTCGTCGACCGAATTAATTTAAAATATAAAGATTGGAAACCGTCCATTGCTGGTCGCCCGAGTAGCATTCCGAACGGGTTGGAGTTCACTTATATTGAAAAAATTGGTCCGGCTGGCAAGGAGTGAAAGTGATGTTCATAAATGTTTAAGATATCTCGAGGACAAAGTTGTAAGGATGTATATCAAAATTTAGGATACAGTGGGCAGGGGTGTTTTGGGGTAGAACGGGAGAAAGGAACGTGAAGGTGGGGGTAGTGGGGTCATTGCCCATTCCGTTGCCAAAAATAAAGGATAAAAAATCTAGTTTGTATTTTTGAATTTGTAAACAACTATTTACATCATTTTGCCTTATAAGTTTTGAGATTTTTGGAGGTCAAAATTTTATCCTGATGATTTTTTGCATCAATGTGTAAAAACATTAGATTGAAACTGGCAAAATGACGTAGTTTTAATAAAAAAATAAATTAGATTTTCTACGTTGCTTCATATCTTTGCCCTACTTTTCATAACGCTCATATTGTGTTTTGACGTGAATAAGTGAAAAGGTTCAATTTTTAACATTTATTCCAGCCTGCGGTCGAGGGCAGACAGTGGGTCGTCTTCTGCTGGGCGTACGCTGATATCCTTCACAGAGAAAAGGACGCCCTCCCTCCAGGCGAAAGATGTAGAAAAGTAAAAGAATTCTTCACCTTTTGCGTCCGGCATCACGCCAAGGTTTGCGCATAATTACCTGTAAACCTATTTATTTAAATACAGAGGTCGTACCCCAAGGAGTGAACGATTCTGATTGTTAAATTTCAAATTTCAAATTTTTGGCACCTTACTTTTAACTACCAAAACCTCCCTTCAACCTGCCGTTTATGACGTTTGTTATCCTTTAAATTCCAGAGTTTACTCGAACTCCACGAAATCTTGGTGATGATCGACCACGCCGGAAAGTCGGGTCCCCTGGACGAAGCAATGGTCCAAAAAGAGGCGAAAATAGGTTCGGAAAATTGCTCCATGGAGGAAATCATCCTCAACTAGGCCAAGACTTTTTCTCGTGGCGGAGAAAACCTCGGGGTAAGTGCCATCGGTTCCGCTGCATACGGATATTGCTACATAAGACGGTCAATTACCGACTTTTACCCCAACCTGAAGGTTTCAGTTAAGACGCCATGTGTATCTGACCAGGTGAAACAACCAATTTCCAATGTTCCCACCAAAAAACGTGCATTCGTTTTCCCACTCCAGTCCTGGGAGGTGGCCATGTGCGACAGCCTTCGTTCCCCCTCAGGTCTGGCCAATCTACCCCTCAAACTCAGAGAAATGGTGGTCATTAGGGTTGCCGCGGGTAACGGGTCGGGTACCCGTTACCCGCATACCCGCACGATTCTTGCGGGTACCCGTTATCTGCGGGTAGCTAGAGCTACCCGCACGGGTAACGGGTAGTCCAGTTTTTATTTAATTTTCGTCATAACTCAGTTCACAAAGAAAGTTAGCAGCAAGTTAGTCCATTTGCCAGCAAAAGCGTCAATTTATTATTTTTCCATTTCAAAATTTGTCATTTGCCAGTAACAAGCGTTTACAGCGAACGTCTCTTTTCGGACGCCATAGAAGCCTATGCCAGCCTCAAATACATTTCATGTCCAGAAAATGCGGAGAAATTATTGTTTCGCAAGTATAATTTGCCTAAAATATCAATAATAATTTGACTTGTATTTGTGTGTATTTATGTAAAATTGACGAGCTTTTAATTTGTGCTTTGAAGACGAAAAACATGAATCTGATTTAAAGCAAAAAATTTATTTGTAGGCAATATTTTTTAATGGAAACTTAATTTAAATCAAAAATTTGAAAAAATCAAACTAAGAACTGAACCTTTTTTAAGGTATACCAAGATTGCCCAGCGAGTATATCAAAATGTCAGGCCAAAAATTAGGAGTCGTCTGATACTTATCTTTCCGTTGAATGATCCCTTCAAAGAAAAATATGGCGGCAACGTTTAATTTTTAAGTAAATGTTCCGTATCTTTTCCTCGACAGGAAGAAAACCATGGTGGACTTTGAACTCTGTCCACCAATAGTTTCCTTTAAACGAATCATTCAACGTAGAAATTAGTGTCGTATAACTCCTATTTCTTGGCTTAATTTTTTGATATACATAAATCCGTATAGCCTGAAAAACGATCTAATGTAAGCCAAAAATTTTGGTTTCAAAAATAACGAGTGATATCTATGTACGGCCAAATTATGGCATGCGTTACTTGCATAGCATCATCTCATAGTAGATATCAACCCAATTTGGGTTACCCAAATGAACAAATAATTGATCAAATCAAATTTATTCTGAAGTTTGGTTAGTTTTTAACCTAATTCTCATAACGGGTAGCGGGTAACGGGTACCCGTGCGGGTACGGGTAATTGTGCTGCGGGTAGCGGGTCGGGTAACGGGTAGCATTTTCGCTACCCGCGGCAACCCTAGTGGTCATGCCCAGATATGCAGACGAAAGAGATCCATCTACCGTAATTTGCAACTTGTCGAAAAGAATGTGTGCAAGGCTCGGACCTCCACACGAGCCCGTCGTGGCGATCACGTTACTCTGGATGTACGTCGGGATATTGAAGCGGCGGAAGAAATTCGCCGACCGTGTGAGAGCCGTCACTGGAGTGGACGCTCGGCTCAGTGGTTTGTTTAAAACTGCGGTGGCACAAGATAAATACGAGGTAAATACTACTTACTAAACACGTAATGTTTGTGAAAGTGTCAAGCATTTATGAGTTTTGTAAGATGGACAAAATTCACATATTGTTTAATTACGTAACATATGTGAAGCACGACCGGAGAAGTTATTATTTCCTGTGAGCCAGAAACTCTTTGCTCTTCAGAAGGCAAGAGGAAAGGCAAAAGAGGTATTATTGTGTGCCGTGTAAAGCAAATTGGGATTTTGCCATAATTTAGAAAATATTTATGGAAATTTTTGTTTCAATAACAATTTTAGATACATATGTATCTCACTTCTCTGATATGCGATGTGTGTCCTCGGGTTGAGAAATCGAAATTTCTTGTAGGGATCAAAAAATTTTCTACTAATCTTTTGTAAATAATTTTGAAGATTTATTACTTGGTACCTTAAAGACCCTTCTTTGCTCTCACCCCCACGTGCTTCTCACTGGCACTTAGTTTGTGGAACACTGTATAAAAAATCAATTTGAACTTTGCCCCTAATTTTCATGCAGAGGGCCATATAAAATTTGCCCATCCCCGTAAAAAAACTACACTCCAAACACAGGAAGTATAACCAAGCTACTTTTGTAGTAAATTATTTCCATTTCTATGAAATTTATGAATTATATCCATCCTCTTATTATTGATAAAAGTCTTGTGCAACAGTCGAGGACTACATAAATATTTAGCAAATTTATTGAACTCTCATTTTAATTTTTACTTTACAGAACAGTGAGCACATTATAAACGTATGGAATGCGATATTGGAGGTGTCCCCTCACATGCGCGGTCTCCTTCCAATCTCGTCCGACATACTGGCCAGAGCATATCCTAACCTGAATTTAAACCTTCCACCGGACCAAATCAGCTATAAGCCGGATAAATTCTTTGCTGCAGTAGCCTCCAGAATGCCACCCCCACCACCAAATCATACAAAGGTATTTCACCAAGTCACATGCAAAATGTTACATCCGGTTAAAATGGGGCTTATGTAATGAAAATGCTCCAACCTCAGGATGGACAAAATAAGGAAAAGGGAGAAACGGACACGAAGTCGCAACCGGAAGTCGGGACAAGCTCAGTGCAAACAGTGTTTAAACCAGCCACGAGGAACCATTCTCCTCCAGCCAAGAAGTACAAAGAGGAAGATATGGTAAATCTCGAGCCAGTGGGCGACCATGTAGTCAAGTTGGAACAAACAAGCGCCCCCAATATTGCTAAGATGGCAGGTATGAAATTACTGGAATTAATTTACTTGATAATTTCACCAACTAGAAATATGTAATACCAATTCGGTCGCACGTTTAGAGGAGAAAGGCGAATTTCCACAAAATGCAACACGTTCACGACAACCGAAGGTTGAAGAGGCTGGCAAATGCGAGAAAACAGATGAAGCGGGATCCGGTCCAAGGGATGAACCGGATGTAGCGAAATCCGATCTGTCCCCACCCGATCCCGACGTCCTGTTATTCGTGACGGACCCATACGCCATGATAAGACTGAATCCGTCCCTTTTCCCTTCCGAAGGTGTAGGTTGGTCGGCAAGTAGCCTGTTACCCTCTGATGGGAGAAAGAGGCCGGAAAAAAAGGGAGAAGACGTTCCCGACCCACCGGAACTACCACCACTTCCGGTCCTCCCAACGGTTCCTGCAGGCTGTACAGAAACCTTGCTTGGGATCGACTTCACCCCTGAAGAGTATCTCGAACAGACGATCGCAGATAATTATTATGCTCAAGGGATCAAACTGGTTGATGGCGTTAGACGAGTCGTGTTCTATCATCTAGATTCTAATGGCGCAACCTCATAAAAGTATGTTAGCTCTTTTACAAAGCAATGTGAATTTTTTTTATTAAGGAAACTGTACTATCATTATTTTCAAGAATGTGCATTGGTTCATATCCATATGTATTTTTTATTACAAATGATGCTTGTGCAATTGAATAGGTTGGTACGGATCGTCGGCCATTTTAAGTGTCACTTTTCACATCATTCATTACGCATCACTTTTCTCAAGATGTATCACGATCTCCGTTATTACGATGAAATAAAATGTTTTTGTTGTTGCTGGATGTTCAAGTTTTTGGAAAGTCTAAAATAACAATTTCAGTTTTTTTTTAAATTTGTGAATTAAATGTAAGTTATATGCGTATGTACAGCTGGAAAATTATTGTACATACGAAACAAATGGATAGAAAATTATATACTTACAATGCGATGGTGTGAAGTGTAACCCTCCGATTTGGTTGAAATTTCGAAATTATGTGGTCCATGGCAATACAAGAAACGTTTCTGAATGCAGTGTGTGCGATGGTCAGAATTTGGCAAAATATTTGAGGTCAAAGTTGATAAATGTGGAATTTTTAGCACGGGAAGAGAATGGAGGTTGAGTGTGCTTCCTCCGGGTGCAGAAAATCGCCCGTTTTTAAACTTTGACCTCCAATATTTTGTCGAATTCTGACCATCGCACAAACGGCCTCAAGAAACGTTGGTTGTATTGACTTGGACTGCAGAATTTCAAAATTTCAACTAAATCGGTGGGTGTGAAGTTCACACCATCGCATTGTAAGATAAAAGTTGAAGAAATAAGCAAGTCAAGTCAAGTCAAGTAATCCTTTATTAATACAGATATATACAATGAAATAGTGTTTTTTCATCTTCCAACGATTTTCGAGTTTGATAGCTTAAAATTTGCGTAATTTTGTGTAGATAAAGAATTTGTACAAAAAGGGGGGGGGGTCCACCAGCAGTTTTCGCGATACAAGCCAAAATGTGCGAATTATTTGCAAATTCCCAGATATTCAGGTTTTGACTAAACATTAGGTTTAGTATGGCTCGAAATAATTTTAAAAATTATTTTGGACTAGAATTTGGCCGCTGCCTTGATTTTGGACCCCAGTTTTCCAATATATTAAACTTTGCAAAATAATTGCATTCTCCATATTATCAATCCACGATCGAATAATGTGGTTTTGGTTAGCATTTTAAGTTAACCCATTAAAGTCAAATGATGGAACGGACTTTGATTAAATCTACATAATTTGCGTCTAACAAATTTTGTGAACAACATGGAATCCTGTTAATAATTCGAAATTCTGTAAATTACCCTTCTCCGTTAGTAATTATGTTTGGCCACTGACTTGAATTTAAAGAACGCAGTTACAGAACATTTTACTGCAAAATTTGAACGGAAACGAAAGTCGAATATAATCAATAAGTTTCTGTTTGGATTCCTTATATGCAACGCTGCCAATTCGGAGTTTTGAAATTAGTGCAAAGTTTTGTTAACCACTCGGAAATTTGTTAATGCCGCATACATAGACTTGTTAATACCAGTTTGGAAGAGTTATGCATATTCATATCAATATTGCTTGGCATTATTTGAATACTGAATTTCTAAGAGGGTACATTCCAGGTATGCATCAAACCCTTCCAATTGTAAGCACAGCTCTGAAAGTCCCCCTGATGATTGCTCGCATAAACTTAAGTACAGTTATCCTGGATATAACAAATAAACCCTCCTTTCCAGTTCTCAATGGTCTGCAACTCTTCTTGAATTTACTCATGTATGCTTTCTCTTCTCGCGTTCGGAACTTCATTTCCTTCCAGGATTTCACAGTTTTCTTGCCGTTTTCTAGTAATCTGCCGAACGCTTCGAGGAAAAAGGTCCAGGTTACTTGCGCTATGATGGACAGCATAAGAACGAATACCTTCAAGAACAAACAAATGTGAAATTAATTTCTGCCATGACAATCTTTAGTTGTAGCGAACATGCTATACAATTGAGAACGCGACATCCTTGATTTTGCTTGTGCAGCTTTTCGGCATTTCTTTACTGTGTAAAAAAAACCTACTCCAAGCAACTTTGCGGGGCTTTTTTAAAATGGCTTTCGGTACAAACATTTTACATGCACTTATATGCTCTAATGGTTCTTGGTAGTTAATGAAAACACATTTGGATAGACATTACCCCCACCGACCAACCACTTGACCGATCAAGCCCATTCTCGAACTCATCCTTACTTTTGACCCGAAGATCAAGTGTACACAATTTCAAGTCGATAGAATTTGTTTAAAGAGAGTTTACAGACAGACGGACGGACAGACATCCTAATCCTGACAAATCTATTAGGCCATCTTAAAAGGCGTAAAAACTGGAAATAATGCAAATTGCAAGAAAGGTGGCCCACCTTGCGAGCAATACAATTACTAAATTATGTACATCGTGGCCAAACATTATCTGACCAGGGGAGGTATATAGCATGTCCAGAAAGTAACTTAACAGTTTTTAAATTCGTATAATATTAAAAGTTCTTGGTACAAACTAGAATGCAAAACTTCACCAGAATCCTTAATGGTTCTACCAGCTAGTAATGCTTTTCATGGTTTGTCTGACCCTCCTGTATCCGTCTGAGGGAATTATTTCGGAATTATGGCAAAACGCTGTTTTCCCGCTATCTCCGCCATAGTTTTCAAAATTTCATTCGAATTACTTTAAAACCTTGTAAAGTTTTTGGCTCCTGACCTCGACAATAGTATTGTTGTTTGCTGGCAAACCAAGACTTTTCAATCCCACGAGGTTAAGAGACATTTGGTGGCTTGATTTATTGGGGAGCATATTCAATGTTTTTTTCCTCCAAATAGCTGGTCACAATTTTGTATTCTGACACGTTGATAAGTCCGACCAAAATAAGACCTCTTCTGTTTTCTAATGCCTATCTATGTAGGGTAATAACTGATTTTTTACAAACTCCCGAAAGTACACGTTGTGGTCATAGACGCCTTTTATTTATGGGTTTCCAAAATATCCCCAAACTCATGCTTGGGTTGAAAAATTAGGCAGTTTTGGGAGATTTTGTTATTTTCTTTAATTTCGCTTCATAATCCACTTCATTATGATCTAATGTATGGAAAAAGTTGTCTCTTGGAAATTGAGATGGGTCAAATGTGACCCGGGTTCCATCGTCAATGACCACTAATTGCTGCAAGCATTTTTTGTGCACTTATGGCAAGCCAGTTTTTGTTAATATTTCTTGATCCTCGAAATAATTTGGAAATTTATTGTTTGTGTGAGCAGTGAAGCCTAGTTTATGGGCTTCAAGTCGGAACACAGTAGAGGGTCCATTACCATCTATAAACCATAATTGCTAAGGGATATGGCAAGATGCATATTGAAATTAATTATCACGCAACATACCTTTTTGGGGGAGGATTCTGTGTGGGTGTGGCCTTTATTGTATTTCAATCTTACTTCAGCAGCCGCCGCATACATTCCAATACTGCGGTAGGTTGTGAATTTAGAGGTCCTACAAGAAGTAAAATGTCCCTGCAATTTTTTCTTATTTCGGCCAGCCACTTTTTTGTGGCAGTGAAAAACACGTTTGGCGAGTCCTGACTTTAACCCCTCCGCATTTTGTTCATTTAAGTCGGATCGTTTCCAAATTTTGGTTACTTCGACTACCATCCTTTGTCCTTTGAATGCCATAAATTTAAATTTTATAATTTCGCGGGATCGGAATTAAGCGTATCGTTTTGTACTGTTAAGTTACTTTCTGGACATGCCTTAGTCTCAAACATTGGTTAATTTCACAAGAAAAACATTTTAATAACAAAAACGCTTATAGTATGCTCTAGACTAATGCTTTGTGGGTACTCCAGACGATTTTGCATGTCCTCAAATTTTGTCCTCAAATTTTCTGACATATTTTCCAAAACAGTTTTGGGAATTTTTTTCCAAGCGGTTTTAAAATGTCTGATCTTGGAAGCAGTTTCGCCTGGAACCCTTTCGTAAACCGCCTTAAATTTAAGCTAAGGTCATAGATTTTTAATTGGGTTCATGTCCGGGGTGCTTCCACACACCCTTTGCTAAGGTGGTAGATGATCGATACTCGAAAAATAAAGTAGTAGTGTTTGAAGTGTGGACTGGTACTCCATCCGGTTCATATGGAATTTCTTTCGAATTTGAAAAAAGTTGCTTAGTCCTCAGGGTATCGAAGTACAGTGGCGAGATATGGCCACGGTAAAACGGTATACCTAATTTTTGACAACCAAAAGTGACGTCCAGTTCCGTCGCGCCTCGAGAACAGAGCCAAATACGAACCATTAATGGTAGTCACTTTTTTCCAATCTTCGTATCTGGGAGCCCGTTTCTATACACAGTTTGGTACCTCATGTAGTGAGGACTCGCCACAGGATGACCATATATTTCGGTTGTGTCCGTACACAAAATTCCTCGGCCCTTTACATCAGCAGTCAAATAGCGGTTTTCATCAAGAAACTCGACAAAATCAACTCAACCTTGAATATTTTTGTCCGAAAAAGAGTTTGTTTTTGGGTTCAGGAAGATATGTGACCAAAATCACTGCTTTCACATGATTTTGGATAATGGAACGACATATTTTCTACCAAAATAGTAAATATCGATATGTGAGATTCAGGACCGCTTCACACATTATTGTCGAACTACCAGATTTTCGTTGGACTATTATAAAAATCGTATTCTCAGGTATGACCGAGGATGTGGTGTGTCGTCTGAGATAACTAGCTTGGCTGATTGACTTACGGTTCCTCCACAACCTGACTATTTTTCCAGCGACTCAAAATTGTCGACCAATTTGTGAAATTCCTGCTGCTTCATCCAAACGCTGGTTTATTTTTATAATTTTTTCCACAAATGAAGGTACAAGTCTGGGTGACATTGTCAGAAAAAATTAGATCCGAGAACACGACAACAAAAAAGTTTCAGCAAATTTTGTGGTCCGATATGTCGATTTATTTGGGTGGTCAGATAATTCTTGGCCACGATGTATGCTGATTATCCGCTAAATAGTGTTTACTTTTTTAAGTTTGTTACACTCCTGCGAAGAATTATGCTTACACTGCTAGAAATCTGGTATGGTCACGCAGGTATTCATTTCCTGGTATTAAAGTTGCTACCTTTGGGTATTTAAATTCAACGGGTCAATAAAAATGTACTATCGATATGGTAAAACTTTAATACCGAGGTATATATTAATTGTCAATTCAATACCACGTTAGTAAAGTCATATTAACATGTATGCATGAATACCGCTTGGTATTAT